AGAAAGTCTATTATGTGCATTCGTATTACAGCCAGCTAAGTCCCTGCTGCACATATTGCTGATTTCTGTACATGCTACATGGCAGAGAGCCAAGGAATTGTAGCACAAACAGGATTTTATAACCAGCATTATTTAAGGATGGGCAAACCATGAAGCTCTGAAAGTTAATGATTCTAGCGCACTTTCAATTAATTTTTATTGTCAAGCTATATTTCAGGGTACTAAAGACCTTTTGTGATGACAAGAAGGAGTGTGTGGGAACAGGCGGGAATACAGTATGCATTGTTGTTCTCTCGGATTTATAGATCAGCAAATAACCTATCTGGCTGACAAGTTATTTTTTTTCCTTTCATGTTAGATGCAATTCATCTCTGTGTTGATCTTCCCCTCAGAAAATGCATCTTAACAATATAAATACAGTATTATATCATACGTAATGTGCAATATATCATATTGCACAAGTGGTACAATTGAGCCCCCGCATAGAAGTAAGTATCACCTCTTTCATTAAGAATATCTGTACTACTTGTGTTGTTAAGACAATTATTCTTACAATAACCTGATACAGAAATCACTGAATGGATTTAAAAGTACTAACTACATTTTGATGACTTATAGTAGGATTTTCTGACAGGACACTGTATTTTAAAGCACAAATGCACACTGAAGTCTGCATGCCCTAAGTTTCAAAGTCTGGGTTTAGGCAGGCTGTGCATGAGCAATCACAGTGACAAAGCCTGGCCTTGCATGATGAACATCGAGTTTACCACTTCAGCTCCCTCCCTGCCCCTCTGAAGCCATAGGCCAGAGCTGTGTGTCAGCCTAACCAGCAGCACTGACTAGCAGCTGAGTTCTGCCTGCTTTTCTGCTTGCAGAGGACTCAGCTTTGGGCTTTTACCCAGACAGCGACTGATTTGGAGGGTCATAGTAGTTTGAAACTCTTTCAGGTTTGACTGAGAGTGCACAGCAGAACTGAAACAGATCACAGGAAAACTGAGGGACAGACCAATTGCATAAACTTAATTTCCTTAGGATACATAAGGAAAAAAAAGCCAAGAACACCACAAAACCAATTCTAACCAAAACACACACTTTGGAAAGTACTGCTAGAGCTGAGCCACAGTCAGGCATCCTGCTCTAGTTTTCAGCTGAGCGAGGAGGCTGCTCTGGTTGGCTCCTTCTCTGCTGCCCCAGGTTACTGCTTCATCGGCTGTGCTGATACAGCTGTTTGTCTAGCTGCCCTTTAAACCAGTTCTGTGAAATGATCCACTCAAAAGAAAATACGTGTTTTTCGGGGAGAATGCAGGGTGGGGTTTTTTTAGCCCAAAGATCCTTAAAAAAAAAAGATCTTTAGAGCTTAGCTACACAAACACTTGGCTTGGTCTCATGGGACAGCAGGTGTAAGTCTGTGTGTGCGTGTGCGTGTGTGTGTGTGTGTGTGTGTGTGTGTGTGTGTAAGGGATGCGGGGGAGCTACACCAAAGGGCTCTGCTTCAGCCCAAACAGTTGTACATCTGTAACCTGAAGTGGCAAAACCAGTGTTACATCTGTCGTGGTGTTCCTACTCTTCTCAAGTCCATAAAGTGACCTTAGGCCTGCTGCTGTGGTGCACGCACCTACTGGCTGGTCGCTCTGTGGCTGGCTGCCATCCTCACAGCAGGCTACCCACTGCAGCACTACCTTTGAAACCACCAGTTTTGGCAGACCTAGCCTACACTAATTTTTGCCAGTTAAACTACATCATACCAATTTGAGAATTTAAATAACGGCAATGCTATGCCCACACCATTTTAAACGTTAGCCAAGACTTAATGCATTGGCACCAGGCTCATTTCCATGGAAAGCTGGCAAGTTACAAGCCAAAGTATGAACTTGTGGATACCATCACCCTTCATTTAGGCCACAGGTGTTCATGTAGGCTGTGGCAGAAATTTCTGTCTCCTGCCCTTCCCTGGAATCGGAGGTTCCTGCTGTTTCAGATCCAGGGAGTAAGTGGTGGGTTGACCCCTTCCTTTCTTGCATTGGATGGTAGCTTATAACACTGAAGCCACCTCTAACCTACCTCATTCAGACTGAAAACATGTGAGAAGCATTCAAACACAGTTGAGCAAAGGAGACCTGAAGGGATTTTAATCATAGGCTGGGACAACACACTTTCCCACCAGCATCTCAGCTTGGGAGGATGTGCATCTGTAGCCCAGTCTCCTTTGTAGACATTGTTAGCTTATCTCTAGAGGGTTTGTTGCAGAGAGAGATGCTGCTTATTTCTAGCATGAAACCACACAGCTCTTCCTTTGGGCTGGCATCATACTCCAGCTAGTGGGGGCAACTATTCAGATTGTCCATGGTCTCTGCTTAAAATCGGTAGACGTGATCTTGAATACGCTACGTGGGAGAAGGCTCACCCCTCTTTGAAATGCAGGAAGGTATTTCATCGCTGATTGCAAACCAAAACATCTTTATGGGGAGGCTCTCTGCTGAAATCGAAGTGAAACTTTATCCTTGGCTTTCTTATTGCTACCCTGGAGTCACCACATCCTTCTCTTGTCACCATCGCCTTTCAGTTTAGAAAGTGGTAACAAGCTACAGTATTCAGCACTAAGTGAGAAGGGAGTCTCTCTGTGTTTGAGGGGGGAAGGATGAATTTATGGTGGGGTTAAAATTTGCTCTTTGAAACCAGTGAACACTGAAGGGTCCACCTGAGGAGGATGTTTCTGGCATGCTGCAATTTTGCTTCCCTACATTTCTTGTGGAGACAAGCCCCAAGGAATCTGAAGACTTGGCTTATTTTCCTGATCCTGCAACAGATTCCTTGTCTTGCCCAGTGAAGGGCAAGTCCTTTAAGATCACATTTTCAAGCATGGGCTTTAATTTTAGCCCTGTAGCTTGAGATATCCAGAATCTGTCTTGCACATGTATTAATCACTCACAGCTCTAGCCAAAATTAACAGAAGATGCCTGTACACAAAATTGCAATGAAAATTAGATGCTACTTAAAAAAACAGGGCCAAATCTGTCTTACTCAGCTTGCTCCTATGTTCACTGGAGGTAGTAACACCTGTCCAGCTGGGGAGACATCAGGCTAGATTAATTAGTATTTGTAAAGCATGTGAAGTAATTTTTTTTTTTAAACAGTATTTGCAAATGTAACGGAGAAGAGCTCTATGAGCATTGTTTCTCTTGTTTGGATGTTTTTATTGGATTCAAATAAGGATAAACATTACCTCCTTCATCAGCAATTGTGCTGCCCATAAAGAATTTGGTTTTGCTTTGAAGGATTAGGGCATGAGATTTTGGTTCCTCTCACTTGTTTATGGCATTAATTTGCTACACATAAATCACTGCAGGTCAGAACACCGCTGTTCCCTTAGCAGAAGGTAAGAGAGCATAGAATCACTCTTTAATGTTGTGCAATTGGACAGGATTTAGCTTGTCCTGATTTTGTGTTTGGAGAAGTCAGGATGCCCTTTGTGCTTGATGTTTTACCTCTTTTTCTCTTGAAGGTCCAGTGGAGAAATCTGACTAGGAGCATTTGCATCACTCACTCACTGCCTGATGTTTGTCTGTGTTTTGCCCAAATTAAAGTGCAGCTTCCTCTCTTTTGCTTTCCGTGGGATTTCCCAGTGTTTCACCAGGCTGCAGTTTGCTGCACTCTTCAAGCTGGCACTGATGTTGAAAGAACCACTTGTATTGTATTTCTTTACACCTGGTCCAGAGTGCATGTGACTGTAAGGTGGAACAGATCAGGGAAGCAATCTGGTTCAGAAAATAACCATTTCTGGCTTTTAATCAGCTAAGTTTTCTGTGTTTTGGTTTAATGGTAGAGCTGAGCAGCAGGGCAAGAGCAGGAGTTGCAGAGAGGGGGAGTGAAGGTCCAGTCCTTCAGGTGGCCTTGCATGATGGTGTTTGCAGAAACTCTGCAGTCTCACTATTTGCCACTCTGTGTCTCTTCATCTCTCTTAGTGCCACTATCTCTTGGTGGTGGGAAGGGTTGTGGCAATAAGTTAATGTTACTCAGTGGCCAGCAATCAACGTGGATAAAGACCCATATTGTGCCTTTCTGATCCCAAGGCTATCCCCCTCCCCCTTCCATTCTTTGGTTTACTCAGTAGAGCTACCCTGATTCACATAAGCTAACAATCTGTTTGAGGAGAAACAATTAAGCCCACAGAAGTTGTTGACATCTTATTTTCATTTTTTTTTTCAATGGCATAATGGGTACTCCAGTCCAGCTTGTCCTTTTGTGTTCTCCATCCCAGGCATTCCTCCCAGATGCAAAGACTCTGTGAGGTTGAGGACAGAACAGTGTCTCTCCCAAACATTTTGGACCAAAAGACTGCCAGTAACACTTAGCATTTCTCACAGACCATGATGTGGCTGCTATTAATTGAAAACACTGCTCAATCCAGGCAGGCTCCCCGGGCCAGCTTCAGGCTGCTTCCCATGCCCTCTGAGCCCATAGTGCTGGCAATTGCTGGAAAGTTGGGGAGGATGGAGTGAGGTTGCAGGAGGCTATAAGAGCAGCTTGGGTGTCTTTTCCAGGAAGTTGAGTGCACACTCCCTGCTTCTTCTTTCACTGTTGTCTTTTGGAGTTCAGCTTAAATCAGATCCAGAAAACAGCATCCTGCTGCAGAAGAGCCAATGGTCCTAGAAACAGACTCCTACTATAAAAAAGCCTATGGGAGACAGATGCCCCTGACCCTGACAGAGATTGATCGAGTGGCTAGTCGTATCGCCTTTCACTTCACTTTGGCAAGGGGGGAAGCTTGGAATGATGGAAAGTTTTCAGGTGGTACTTTCAGAAAGCATTTAAAGGTTCGTGTGTTTTTTGTTTGTTTGTGTTTGTTTGTTTGTTTTGTTTGTTTGGTTTTTTGGTTTGTTTGTTTAAGTGCTGCAGGCAGGAAAGAGTCATTCTACACCATGCAGTGCCAGCACAGAGACAGAATAAAAGGGGGTCGGTAGGCACCAAGGAGCAGTTGTTCCTGAGAAGTCCTTCCTGTGAGCACAGCGTGCTGCAGATGTGTGCTTCGTGAGAGGTCGGATTAGATCATCGCCACGGAAAGGAAACACATTAACTGTGTCTCCTGGAGGTACGGGAGGCTCTGTGGCAAGCCTCTTGCGGCAGGGTGGATCTTCTGCCGGAGAACCCGCTTTGGAGTAGAGAGAGAGAGGGAGATAGATGCTCGTCTCTGCCACCACCGGCCTTTGCAGAACCGGCGTGCCAGCCGCCTCCCGCCCCGCGGGGGTCCTTCCGCAGCTGAAGGACGGGCCTCTCCCCGTCCTTACTGCACGGTAAGTGAAAGGCGCTGGGGTGGTTCGTCAAGACCCGGCCCGGGGCGATGGCGGGCGTCACCCCGGCGGTCCCGGCAGGTGCTGCCCCGCGATGCCCCTCAGCGCCGCCAGAGGGCGCCGCGCCGTGCGCACCGACACAGCCTCCGCCCCGGCCCGGCCCGGCCCGGCCCGGCCCGCTGCGCGTCCCCTCACCGCCGAGGCGTGGGGCAAAACCAGGGGAGCATCAATCAGCCTGGGTATCACCCCCTCACACCCCACTCCCCCTCCTTGCTCCCCTCGGCTGCACGCTGCGTGCGGTGCCCAGAGTCCCGCGGATCGGGAGCTGTTGCACGGAACATCCCTTTTAAAGGCATCTCCCGGCACAAAGGTTGCCCCCGAGAGAGCAGGATCCTGGGCTGAGACGAAACCCTCTTGCAATAAGTAAATACCCAAGGGTTTATATCCTATTTAGCTAGCAGGGGGTTTGTTCAAACAGCGTGTTCGAACAGATACTTCTTGTCTTCCTTCCTTGTTATATCTCGAGTCTGGGAAACACCAAAAAGTTAGTGAGAAGAGTAACAGCATCTGAAAGAGAGAGAGAAGAAAGGATGAGGCAGTCTGGCTCGGCAGCCAGACTCAGGAGATGGTAACACAGAGGAACTATTCATTCTTGAGAGCCAGTTGCTCTTCACCCTGCTAGACTATAAATTGGACACCTTATTAAGAGCTGATCCTCCAACAGCCCCACCCAGGGCTGTGCTCATGTGCTTAACCAGTGGAACATAATCCCATTTCACTAGTGATGCCTGTTACTGGATAAGCACATGTGCAAGTGTGGCAGAGGATACAAGGAAGAAAGAAGCAGCGCTCTGACTGTTTTCTGAATTGTCAGTTTAAGACAAGAAGATAAGAGTTTTGAGAGAGGATGGGGAGGAAGTTGGTTTGCACTAAAATTTGGGCACTTTTATGATGATGCTAGCTGCCTTACCAAATATTTAAACCAGCATAATTTTTGTTTCTAATTCTTGCTTGTCTCCTCAGTTGTAACTCAAAAATACTAGCTCTCTGACACAGTGTGCCGACCCAAGTGTTGCTGCTGAAGTCAAGAGCTGGAAGAGCCTGACAAGATATAACCTCATCAAGGCATAGTCTTTGAGTGGGCCTCTTCAGTGATTCTAAGTTTCTCTTCTGATGATCTGCTTGATCATTTACTTGTTTTCAGATTATCACAAAGGTCTGCACAGATTTAGGCAGATGTTAAGTTGAATGATTGTGATGGTGAAAATTTAATGGAAACTTTAGTTTAACAAATTCTGCAAAGTTTTATCAACCTTGGCAAGACTTCCGAGCTTTTCAACCTTCATACACCTTTTAACCATTTGAAAAGCTGTCTGACTGGCATTTGAAATGCTCAGAATTATTGCCAGTTTTTCTCATGACATGCATTCTTTAGGGCTTATTTTTGTGCTGAAGAAAACAGCATGGGGTATTATAAACCTGTTTTAGTGTCTCTGAACAGACATCCCTGCTCATACATGCACATTTTTCCTTCCAGGCAAAACCAGCAAATCCAGGCGGATGGATGGAATGCTAGATGCATCATGAGAATTCTGCACTGTCAGAGCATTTATACTGAATATTTTACAGATAACATGTCTGGTTGGTTCCCCCATTGAGGTACCTCTGTTGTACTTTGTTTGGCAGGCAATTTAAATATAGTTAGATGTATTTCAACCTAGCAGTGGTCAGGAAATGAAAAAGTGACATGGAAATGCAATCTTAAAGCGAGGTCCCCTCCCTATGTAGCCGTGAGTTATGGACATAGATTCAGGTGTATTTCAATGGTGTCTTCTAGACTTTTTGTCTTGTTTTGATCTCACATAATTGAAAAGCAGCTTTTGGGTTTGTTTTAAGAGGAAATAAATTTCTTTTAGATCTAATTATCATTAGTGACTCATTTGTCATTTGAAAATGTTTGTCTGATTCTCTCCAGGTTCTGAGTCCCTGGCTGTTACTGGTGTGTTGGAGAGCAATGACTCCTCAGATGTTCCTGTATACCTTTATCTATCTGCCTCCAATTACTTTATGAGCTCATGAAAATGAACACAAGGCATCTTTGACATTCCTCTCTCTCATTTCCTCTCCTATTTTTTACATAGGGCATTTTTGCCAATAACTCTTTGCTAGTAAAACAATGCCTCTGAATGCATGCTGTGTGTGTATGCCTGTCTCTGTATGTGATTCCATGTACCCTCCCTTCCTACCTCTCCAAATGTTTGAGCCTGTTGGCAAAAGAATACAGATCTGAAAGTTAAGTTCCTGTGAGGTTGAAAGAGAGAGGCAGATGGGTACATGAGAGAGCCTGTTTGTGCTGGAAGTGTCAACGGGCTACCAGCTCAGCTCGCCTTTTATCAGGTACCAGAGAGCTCCCACTGGAGTGTGCCCTTGGAAATCAGACTTCATCCTGTTTGTCAGTTGTTGACTCCTTGTTCATGCTGATGGTTTTGGAATAGAGATGGGAAGGCAAGGTTGAAAAGCTGGAGCTTCTCTTTTCTGCACTTTCAAGATGTATGTTAGTCTCCTGCAGGTGATCGGGAAGCCATAGTTGTGTACTAGGCAGAAGGAAATCTCTATCCCTGTTGCACACTCCCTTCAAAGTAGGTATTTATTTTGTTACAGAGCAACATGTCAGGTTTCAACAGTGTCATGTCTCAGAAATGTGGATGCCCTTAAATAATTTTTTGCTAAGGTCATAAAGGCTTTGAAAATAAGGGCAAAGCCTTGAATTTAAGCTGTGACTGAGTAGTCAGCAGAGCAAAGAACAGAGCTTAGGCTTGTTTGGTGGTCTTGTGCTTCTGCGTAAATGGCCTGATGCATTCCTATATAGGTTGTCATTCCTAAACCCACTAAGTTGTAGAAATCAAGCATTAGGGCCAAGTCCAATCTTTCAGGTTATCTGACTGGAAATAGTGCTGAAGGATTAAGGCTTTTGCAGCAACAGTTATTGGGGCTTTCAGGATGATAGAGTTCAGATGAACATTAAATCTTCAATTAGTCTTTAATGCCAGCAATGGACATTATCAAAGTGTAAAATACCTCCCTATACCTTCGTCAGCTCAGGCTCTTACGACAATTTAGCTTCTGCCAACTTCATTCATTTGCTGATTTTAACCAAGCCCTTGAAGAGCTGGATAACAGTGTCGTTTGCATGGGAGGTGAAGATGATGGAGAGATGGGTGTCATATGTGTAGTGCTGACAAGTCAGTCCATGGTGCCACTGAATCTTCTCTAGAGGCTTTATATAGACAGTGAACAGGCTGGGTGAGAGGAAAGAATCTGGTGTTATTCAGCAGGTGGAAAAGGTTTTGAAGGTTAAGGAAAGAGCAAGTGTTTATCATAAATCTCTTGAGTGTACAAGAGATTTATTGAAGGGATGTCTGAAGAGGTACCAGCTCAGTTCCATAAGGCTGTGGACAGACATTTATTTTCAAACAGCTGAGCTGGTTGGAAATTTTACAGCCAGTCCAGATGCTTGCTACCAATACTCTGCTGATGGTGCTTGTACCCCTAGCTCTACTATCAGAAAAGGTGGTCCAAGGTCTTCCTAATCTGTCAGGGGAAGCCTCTCAGATAGTGTTAAGTGCTGAAAAAGGTGATGTTTTTTAACCACAGACATTCCTTACCTCTAAGAGAGAGCTGTTTACTAGCACTGGCTTGCCCTGAGTTTTAGAAAGGTGAGAGAGGAGAGAAGGCAACTAAATCCTTTCCCACAGAATATGCCCACAGCCCCAGACAGTTCCTGCATTGCCTCCTACAGGTCTGGGAATGGATGCATCTGCTGAAGCAGACTATATTACACCTGTTTCATGTGCCAAGCATGTGAGTAAAATATGTGTGAAGAACTTGTTTGTTACGTGAGCAACTAAAATGGAATATTTGGAACCGTGTCAGCCTCCCGTGTAAACAAGAGCTCTAGGATGGGTACACAGTGTGGTAGAAGCTCAGGTAACTTAGGGATCACTATTGTCCAAATTTCTTAACAGTCTTTACAAGAAATTGGTGTTAATTATTATGTTACTGCCACTGTGGTTAAAGCTGAACTGGCAAGTTATAATAAAATCTTTAAGAATATCCAGCTGGGGCAAAGAAGAAGACTCCTCTGCTCAAGGGATCATTTGGAAATGGGAGGAAGGAGGAAGAAAATGTGCTAGTGGTTTTCAAGAGAACCTATAGCTCCTACAGGTTTTCGACATCCCAAAATACAGAACTGTCAAAAAATCCTTGATATATGCACAGGTAAAACAAAACATGCTATAATACTGTGTGTGGCCTCATGGTAAATGTGTATGTGTGTGCTGGCTGTGCTTTAACATGAAGGGCTCTTAGTACCCACCACTATGATTTTCAGATAGTGTAACATGTTGTTCTTTATCAAATGGTAACCATCTGAGGACTGGTGAGATGCAGAATCTTCCCACCAACCAAGCAACAACCTGCAGCCTTTCTGAAATGTGGAATTGGGGACAGTTTTTAAATTCTCCCTTCATCAAGAAACAAACTCTTCCTTTCATGTAACACTGCTCACTTATTGTATGAGACAAACCTGTAAAAATGGACCACCCCTAATGTCTGAGCCTGGCTCTAAACGAGATCCCTAACTTATTGGTCATCCTGTTTCTGAACTGGGCCAAAATGGAGCATCCTACCTTAACAAGAGTCTGAAACTCTAGTGGAATTTGGACCCTGATCCAAACTCAAGGCACAGGCTCTTCTCTAAATAAAAATAACTAGATCACAAGCTATTTTGGGGTGGTGACTT